CCCCACACTACCTCCCATCATCTGAGGAGTCAGGAAGCTTCCTGTACAAGAAAATATTATGTCTACATGGTTTTGTGTTGTACATTGTGCCCAACAAAGGGCCTCCCTTCATCTCCCAGTTCTGCAAAGAGTTCTGTTATTCCCCAAGGTCTAGGCCAGTCCAGTTCCATCCACAAATAGATGGACTAGTGGATAGGGTAAACCAGGAAATGGAAACCAAGTTGTGTCACCTCTGTGACCAGGACATGTAAAAGTGCTCGCACAACCTGGTGTTGGCTTGCAATCAATATGCATCAACTCACTTGCCTTTAGTATCACAAGTCTATCGCCTTGAAATTTCTTGGAACATGAAAATCCATCCCCCCTCTGATGTCTCCAAGATAATTCCTTTTTTGGAGGCTTGAGTCAAGATAAAAACTATTTTCTTGACTCTTTTGTGAGCTGATTTATTGGCTCTCCAGCTCCATCCAGGTAGCCCTGATTCTGCAGGTTTTAGGCCCCTGCTGTGACAAATGAAAACTGTGATCTTGGCTCAGTATGGCTCATGCCAACATGCAACATAATTAGGGGCTAGGACCACTCATAGATGCCATAGGAGATGCCATCATATACCTCTGACCCTCCTTGGGAAGCCAGTTTCCCTGCGCTGGACAAACTGTATTTTCAGAAGTCGAACAACACCTGTTCTAGAAGACAATGACTACGCAGTGTTTTCCCACAGTATATACAACAGCAGCCACCCAAAATGACCCCTCCCAGTCAAACGTCCAGCCACTGGAGTGACCCCCTCCTTCTCCTGGGCGTGCATATTTTTTTACTCTGACTCCAGCCTTTCCCTGAATCACAGGGTCTGACTAGGAAAAAGCACTTCTCTTTAGATCTTAATGTTTGCAAATCATGACAGACAGAATATTTTTGTTCAAAGATTGATGTTTAAAAAAGGAATCTTAGGGGATCAGCCAAGGACCAGGCAAGGGCCCAATAGGGAAAGTGGGGACATTTTAAATGGCTGCAACTGTAAGGACACAGGACTGTGTCTTTTCCCCTTAAGAGAGGCAATTTTCCAAGTCCTCAGAGACAATTTAAGCATCCCTGCAACAGAAAGGCTCCATCACTGACTGCTGCCCTCTCCTCCTCCCACCAGTCTCTCATGGTTCCCACTTGGTTGCCCACTTGGGGATGGCCTCATGTAATTTTTTCGAGTTTAGCCCAACCAGCTCCCATTAGGGTGACTGACCAACAGGTGCCTGGCCTGGCTTCAGGGTAATATCTCAGATTTCTTTAGCTTGGGTAGCTAAGTTTAAAATAAATTAAATATTAATTGGAGATAATGATACACTATCACTGTATTACTACCACTCCTCACTGTGGCTTTTCTCTTTAGAAAGGTAAAGAAAAAACATTTATCATTATGTGAACATGTTCTTCACATTAATCCGTAAACCATGCTGTGGGTGTTTGTAGTGTCAAGGTAACGCTCACAAGGTGCAAAGTCAAACATTTGTACCTGCTGGAGCAGGCATATTTACACTGTTGGAGCTGTGGGTAGATGCAGGGAAAGCTGCTGATTTAAGATTTTAAAGATAAATAAATTACATTTGGAAGGGAAATCTTTCATAACAGATTTATGTGAAATATGGTCAATGACCTATTACTACAGCAGATTTTTCTGTTGCTTTCATTAACCCTGATGTGGCACCATTTGAGCCAAAACACATTTTTTCACTGCATAATTATTATGCCAACCCTCATTAATAACCCAACCCTGGCTTCATTTTCAGTTTTCTCTAAAACAGAGATTATAAAGAAATCCTTAACAGTGCAACTGACAGAACCATAATTTGTTAAAGGAAAAGTCCGGTCAGCAAGGAATATTTAATGGATCATTATCTATACCTAAAACTAATAAGTTTGCAGTCATTTAACGAATTTAGCAATAATTAGTAAAAAAATAAAAATAATAATTTTCGTCGCGATCACAGAGTCTGGGACCGCCCATTTTTGCCAAAATATAGTAACAACATACTCCTGACATCTTCCTGCAGTGACGTCACAGTCCTGTCTCCAGTAAAACACACTCAAATGAAAAAAAAAAAAAAAAAAAAAAAAAAAAAAAATATATATATATATATATATATATATATATATATATATAGATAGATATATATATATATATATATATATATGCACACCTTAAAGTTGCTTTAAAGTTTTATTCAGGACATTGTATTTCCTTTGTGTTACCTAAAAATGCACTTATTGCATGTGAAGTAATGTTTAGGAAACAACACATTAAGTCCAAACTTGAATTACTACTGTAGGTGGTACAGTCAATTTTAGTAAGGATAATACATATATGCTTGGAATCACTCTAGTGGGCAACTTTATAAAATATTGCATACACTGCTTTTGACCAAGTCTATGGAAAACGAGGTGTTGCAAAAAGACATCACTATATTGAAAAATAACCATTAAGCATTACCAATACCATTATGACATAAATAACCATTAATAAAATCATGAACCACTGCAACATCTTCTATGGCAATTGAAGGTAAGTACCCACCAAATACATTTTACTTCCAGCATATATATGTCTCCTAATGCTATAAGTAATGATCACATATAAGAACAATGACTGTCAAGCAAAATTTAGTAAAAAGCAAGTGCAAGTACAGAACCACAGAAAAATACTTATTTGGAGAAGGGTCCTTACATTATGTTAATAAGTACAGAAGTTATCCATTTTAAGTCAGTTAAAACATATCTTTTTAGTTTTGAGGTGTTCCTCTTAGATAACAGGTAGCTAAAGTAAAGAGTAGCGGACTGCTGTTTTCACATTCTTTAAAATTATATATTGAGTGGGTTATGTTGCAAGGCTTGTTTTCTGCTTCAATGTTAATATATTGCTGTTTAAAATTAAAGTAACCATTGTTACGTATTGTGCTGACTGACGAAAAAATTTAGCTATTTTTGACACCCCTGACTTCAACTTTTTTCAGGCGTTCCAGGCAATTATAGCCTCAGTGACTCTATGCAAATACATTGGAAAGTTGGTAGTCAATAGCAATGTAATCAGTGGTTGAAAAAAGTCAGCTCTTCTCACAGCATTTTTCCCCTTATCAATACACACACTATAGATATTCTTTAGCTGCAAAAATAAGTTTTCAAAGACAACAAAGAATGATTTTTCTTCTAAAAAACAAAAAAAATGAATAAGAAAACCCTATGATCTTTCACATGTGCAAAGAAAAAAGTACACAAGGACCCAGACAAGAGAGGATGAAGAACATGTATGCAAAAAAAACAAGGGAAGATAACAGAGATGAAAGAAAGAGCAAAAAGGGAGAGACAGAGTTTTATAAAAGGATCGAAGTGAGTCAAATTGATAAAGAGATAAGTGAGGGAAGAATGCAGCTAGAGTGATAGCACAGAGTGAGAAGGAGCTTGGAGGTGGTAACCAATTACGGAATCTTGGTATGGACACTCATCAGTCGCTCCAGGAAATACTTGTACAATGTTGGCCGTGTTTAAGATTTTCTTTGACATCTTTGTGCAGTCTCATGTATTATAGCCTGTTATACAGGAAAAATTGGCTGTTAAAGAGTTGAGCAAAGAAGGAACTATATATATTTATTTCTACATAAATGTTAGGCTCCGCTAAATTCATGATATTGATTACAATAAAAAGTATATACAGTTAATATTTTTTTTATCTTGTTCTAACTTAACCCTGAAAATCTGAAGGTACACATACACTGCAAATCCTTCATCTATACTGTGATGACTAATTTCTTCAAACATATATCATACATCTTTGATATGCTTTAAGGTTCCACAGAGTTACACAGACCAGACACAACAAGAAACACATTGGCACTCCAGAGGCCGCATGCTCTGGTTTTCGAATAAACTTCTAAACATATTTTCAGTACTTGAACACTTGCCAGTCAGCAAAAATTCAGTCCCTCAATGACCTGTTAGCCTGCCTCTGAAAAATCCACCTCCTCTCCACTTAATAATTCTAAATTGCACACACCTGTTTGAGGTCGTTAGCTGCATTTACACACCTGTCCTGCCCACCCCATAACAATGCAGTCTTAGTGGGCCTTTGTGTAGCCCAGTAGACCAGAAAATTATAATTTCAAGCAGCTTGCTTCAATGATCTAATTTAGCAATGCCTACTGCAAAGGAGACAGTGATTTGTTATGGAGGCGTGTGCCTGGGTGAGTTATATTTATTCTTGAACGCGGAGCTATGATGACTAATGCCTGTACTAGCGACATACTGTAGGCATGCATCAGCATGTTTGAGTAAATAGGAAAAAATCATCTTCAAAAGCCAACATTTAAACCTAGGAGGGCAATAATTAGGCCCCATCTAGTTTAGGTCTGGTTTCGGTATATGTGAGAAACTGCTTTGTGGGATATTGGACCCCATGCAGACAAAGCAGCTGCAAGGCTGACCACATTTGAAACCTTCTCCAATACTAGAGTAATTTGAAGCTACACTAGCCTCCGCTAGGCATTTCTGTCATGATACCTATATCCTCATTAATGGCCAAAATGGAGTGTGTTTGCACATGCAACCCAAGGTGGACATTACCACCCTTAAAATGCATGGGATGAAAACGATAACAAACGTGGACTTCAGAGTTTCTATTTAGTTTTAGATTTTAAGTATTTGAAGTTATCCTACTTCGCATCAAAATAACATCTAGTTTAGTTTTTTGTTTTTTTTCTGCAAAAAAAAAGATTTTGACATATACAGGTGTTAAAAAAAAACTTGATTTGAATTTAACCAAAATTTAAAGTGTTTTCAATATTACATGGCTAACAGAAACATTGCAGAGACATCTAATCTCCTTACAATGATAAAATCAGTCACATTTTCTGACTCTTAACAAAATGAATGTCAATACAAGATAATAAAAAAAAATTTCCACATAGTATCTTGTGACCAGGGCCTTGTGGATGTTCTTACTGAGCGCTAACTCCTACCTGTGAAGACAGATGTGCTGACAAGTCTGCTCTCTTGACTCCCTCTGACAGCATTGATGTTAATCTCATACTCTGTGGCTGGAAAAAGACTAGACAAGGTGTAGTTTGTCACATCGCTGTCGATCATCTCGCTGTCCACTCGACCTGCAGTAGACACCAGATAAGCCAAAACATTAAACATCACTCTCGTCTCACAACTTTTAAATAGTGTTCCTTGTAACTATAGTAACTGCTATCTGGTTTGCTTAACAGACTGAATTGGTGATCAGTGAGGCATTTAATTTAAAATTCAATTAAAGTTTACTGATAAAATGTCATGATTAATTTGCTATAACACAGTGTGTTACCACAAAATGTATCTTGTGTAAGAAAGCAAATGCCATAATCATTTAACTGTAACTGAAACACCGGTGAGCTTATGTAGTGCATATATGTCAAATTTCATGTATTAGGATGGGGTTAGTACACAGATTGTGCTGACATAAAATGCTACCTCTAGCCGACTGGTAGAAGAGCTTATAATATTCAAAGGAAGCCAGTGGTTTGATCCAAGAGATAGTCACTGCATCCTCTGTCACATCTGATACTGCCAGTTCTTTTGGTGGGTCCATTTCTAGAAGAAAAACAGGTAAAAAAATAAATAACGTAAGCGACAATAGACAATAAAGACACCATAAAAATATTTCAATATTTAGTTAATTTTTTATTTTAATGCTTAGTCCTAAATCAATGATCCCAAAGTTAAGGGATTCCCTGACATTATTAATGTTATTCCTTGTTAAAAAAAAAACAACAAAAAACAGTAATTGCTGCAAAGCAATATCATAAACAATGTACACATAGAAAAAAAATAAAAAAAAATAAAACATATATATATATATATATAAATGCAGCTTTAACTCTTTTTTAAGTTTGCTCTGTTAGTTTACAAAGACTGATTTAAACTAAAATTAACATTGAAAATGTAAATTAGAGTGTCTGAAAAAAGGCATAACGGGATCCAAAATACAATGCAAGACACCTAAAGTTAGTGAAAATAAGTTAGTGATAATAAGTAAGTGAACACAGTCTGAAGAGATGACTAGGTTTAGACATTACCAGACCGCAATCTGGATCAGTGAAAAGACAGAAACTTAAATATATGTAGGCCTAGTTACAAAACTGTGCACAGCAGGAAATAATTTATGAGAGAGAAAACTGTCACAGGGGAAAATGAAGAAACACCAAACCTGGACCCTGACATGCAGTTAGCAAAGATAAACTTATGAAAAAAGGAAAGTGAAAACAAATAAAGTAGGGATATAAAATACGTTAAGGATGTTCAATAAACTAAAAGATATTAAAAAAATACAAGAAACTGTAAAAGCACTAATAATCACAGAATCTTATAAATGACAGTTACAGTATATACCAACTCTTTAATATGAACCAATAAATAAATGCTGAAAGAACCTTCCAAAATAGATGACTATATCCATACAACTGCATTTGATGTTAGCATTTCATGGGTCATGGGCACCAATGTATTAGTTCTTAAAGATGCTATAAATAAAAAATGAAATAGTAAATTAAGAAAAAGTTGTGAAAACAAGCTAAATAATATCTGTTTAAAAATATCTATGAAAGTTAATATTATGATTTATTCCATTCGTAAATCATGTTTACGTATAATTCTATCTATTTTTAATTCTTGTAAATTTTAAAATTTTTTAATGAAGTTTGAAAACCAACACACACAAAAACTGTTGTGCTGGAGATATAATACTTTCTCTGTCCCAGATCCCAGTATTGTGCTGACTGTGTAAGCTTAGATCAAAGCCCAGTTTGAAGTTAGAACTGACCGTTCTAACTATCAAAGTCAGCTCAGAAAAATCTGCTGTTAGAACTGTGACTAAAACATGAAACCAAGCAGCACATTCTAAATGCAGCAAATAAGTTTAATTCGATGCTGAAAGGGAGTGTGAAGCCTCTTCAATGCCCACATTCTAACAAGGCAGATCAAAGTAGGGCCCTGAACTAACTGCAGAGAAAAGAGAGGTGCAAAAAATATTATGAATGTGTCTCCAAATCCCCATTCAATTTCACCCTGGAAAATTTCCCTCTAATATAGGTTAATCTTATATAAAGAGCAGGAGCCCAAAGCTACCAAAGTGTTCTTCTTATTATTAAAATTGGGACTTCTGGCACGTGTTATATACCTTAGTTTTTAATCCTAGCATTTTCCATTTGCTCAATTTCTCCAATTCTTTCTTTCTTTAAATCAGCTTTTTGTTTCTAAAGAGAAAACTAAAATGTTTTTCAAAGAATATAACCCTGATTCTTAGTCCTGAACACAGAGTGGGCTACAATAATTAAATTTGGCATATACTATATTTGGTTATACTGTATCTTATCCATGCATAGCAATTAGACACAGAAGCCCTATTAAAAAAGAAGGACTTTGTTACAAGTAAGCTGGCTCCCTGGTTTAAGAGCTGTTTACATTTAGAATGGCATTCTAAACGTAAAGAGAAATTTGACTTACTGTAATCTCGAAAAACAGTGTACAGCTGTATTTAGATGTAATAAAAAAAAAAAAAAACTTGAATGCTTTAAATTCAAAAATCCGCTAGTGAAATTAAATGTTGCAGTCATTCATGGAGTTCTCTTTAACCAGCTCTTGTGTGTTGATTGCTGTATGCAGGAAGGATCTTCTGTAGTGGTTTGCCTTGCACAGGATCTGGAGAAGCCTCTGACTGAAGACACTCTGTTGTTGCTTATAAATCTTATTAAGAGGATGCTCACTACTGTCCATAATGTTCTTAACTTTATGAAGAATTTTTTCTTTGAGAAAAATCTCCAGAGTGCTGTTCAAGGAACTCCAGAGGAATTCCTAGAACAGTCATGCTTTATTACCATAAGCTTTTTTTCAAGTCATTGCTACCAGCAGATGATAAGGAAGAGATCACGCTCTCCATAACAGACTTATAAAAGATACAGTATGAAGCATTTTGATTCAAACGCCAAAGGACCTAAGCTTTCTTAGATGACTTCACAGTTGCATCTCCAGTTGAGTTTGTTGTCCGGTTGAACACCAAGGTATTTACACTCCTCCACCACCTCCACTTCTTTTCCCAAGATGTGAACAGATTGATCTTGTTCCTCTTTTTTTTTTTTTTTTCTGAAATCTACAATAACCTCCAGATGATATTTCCACACCATGCCACAAAGCGTTCACTAACTTCTAGTACATCTTTGATGCACCCAATGACTGTAGAGTCATCTGAGCATTTCTGCAGATAACAGGACTCTGACTTTGAAATCAAAGGTGTACCGAGTAACAATGAATGGTGAGAATAATGTCCCCTGTGGTGATCCTGTGCTGCTGATTCCTTGATTAGACGGTTGACCCCTCAATCTAACAAACTATGGTCTGTTTGTCAGGTAGTCTTTTATCCAGGCAATTGTTGATGCCTCCACCTGAGTCTTCTGAAGTTTTTCACAAAGTAAGTCAGGCCGAACTTTGTTAAATGCTCAGGAGAAATCAAAGAACATGATTCTACAAGTGCTCTCTGCCTTATCTGAATGACAGTTGGTTTGTTGCAGCAAGTGTATGATGGCATCTTTAACTCCAACTCCACAGGGATAAGCAAACTGCAGGTTGTCTTGATAACTGATTGTTTGCTGAGGTGAACCAACAGATGTGAAATGTCAGGGCAACAGGTCTATAGTCACTGAGGACTGTTGGCTTGTTGAACCGGAACAAAAAGACCCTTTGTAATAAAAAAAAATAAAAATCTCTTCACTGAGGAGAATAAAAATAATACTACACATTTACTATAGTTGTCAAACTCACAAAGACCCATAACGCTGTTGAACAATCTATTCCAACTACCATTAGTAGTAATGATTTTATAGAATTCTTCTTAAATAAGATTAATCCTACTAATAATGAGATCATGGGCACCCCACCATATATGATTAATTTACCCTTAGTAAAAGATAATATGCGGTAACTATAGAAACCAGCATTTGTTTTGATCTTTTTTTTATCCAGTTGAGCTTTCAGAGTTATAAAAATTTGTATCTTCATCTAAGCCTCCACTCTGTATTTTAGATCCAAGTCTAACAAAGTAGTCCCGATGATTTCTAACTAAGTTTTAGAAGTTCAGACTGATCCTTGTTCTGCTGAAGGATTCTTCCTGTTAAAATATTTTTTTTTCTCCACTGTTGCTGGATGCTCGCTCTGGATTCCTGTAACCTTCACAAGAGTCAACAACATAATGCAAGTGAATACTGTCATCACATGCTCTTCCAGCAGAAACCTGCAATCAATGATTTGATCCAATAAGCTGGTCTTGCTTAGATAGTGTTAACCTGTCTGACTGTGTGATCTGAATGAAATGTCTCTGTAAACTTGCCTTAAGATGACATGTTGTTATTGGATGGTATATATTCCAAATACTGTAATCTGAATTAAATTGTATTGTAATTAGTATTTACCAACTCATATGTGAATATCTAATTTAAAATCAGATTTTTACAACAAGCTTATACAGATAAAACATAAAAACTGTCAAGGAAATTATTCTATAGGGTAAAATAAATAAATATAAAATAAAAAAAATAAAATAATTTTAATTACAATGAAAAGGGAAGGAATTTATGATTGTTAAGTGTAACCCATTGAATTAAATGTAAAGAAAACATTGAAAAACCTGGAAGAAAATACAAAATGTACAAATGTACCAATTTTTACATAATTCTTCTTGCAGCATTGTTTTTGAATTCACAAGAAACATTGGATCATTAGTCAGACTTCCTGTTGGTTCATAATTTGTCAGTGGTAAGCTTTAGCCATCTGATTTCAGTTGAAAAGAAAAGTATTTTTTGTCTCAAATGAAACAAACAAGAGTCTAACTCTAATTAGAAAAGACCTTCTTCCAAAGCTCTGCAAAACTCAACAGCTCAAAAACGAAAATAGCAGACACAGAAATATGAAATAGTTATTTGCTACTTCAAACATAACCATATATCCATTCTTTTTCCTTTTTTTCACCTTAAGGCACTTTATTCTCAGTTATTCAAATATCAGTGATGACTATGCAACAAATTCAGGTATGTGGTAAAAATTTAACTGTCCTTCATTTAAATAAAACAAAATGATTTTTATAACACAAATGCTTTTGGCGGAGGTGAGGTAAAGTGACTGTGCCATTTTTATATTTTCCCAGGGTTAGGAATCAGTCAAAAAATAATGAGCTCTTACGAACATCACCCTTCACAGTTAATAAATTCATCAGCTAAATCCCTGCTTGGAGAGGGTAACAAATGCTAAACCTGTTTTTCCTATGATACACACAACACATTTCTGACCAAGCAGCTCACCTGTCATGAATGATGCTGTGATTGGCTCAGAAGTATCATCCCCTTGTATTGTGATTAAACTAAACGTGTAGTGAGTGGATGGCAGCAGGCCCTGGACCAGTGACCTCGTCTTGGAGCCATCCAGTGTCACCTTAGAAGTGTCAGTCCCGTCGGCAGAGCTGTAGCTCAAAATGAAGAGATTGGCGGGTGGTGCCGGGGAGCTCCATGACACTAACACTGAATCTGATGTCCCTTCTGACAGGTAAAGCTGGGTTACAGGCCTGATCCCTGGAGGAATGGGGGTTTACAAGTCACTAGGTAGCTTTCAAGAACATGTTAATATTCCAGCGGTGAATGAGAAGCACTAAGGTACAAACAGCTGCAGGATGAATGAATATAAATGTCAAAGCCATGCAGTGATGGATGAGAGCTCTCCAAGATGATGTAATAGATTCTTTATAATAAAGTTGAGAAGATTAGCCTTAATGAACAAGGTGATTCAGAGCAAACTGCAGTCATGTGGCAATGATGATTTAATTGGTCATGAAATTGAGAAACTAATAACATTATCCAGAATAATGATGAAGATCTGAAAGTACTTTGACAGCATGATAGCAGATGCTGCCGTCATGTGTGACCTGAACAGGAGATGCTGTAATGTATACAAATCCCCACCAAATGCAGGAAGAGTTTAATTTGATTAGCCAAGTTTGGATTCATATATAACAGGATAAATATGGCAAGAATATCTTCCCCTCAGTTGATTCATCTAAATGAAATACACTGTGGAGATCTTTTCCCATCAGCCATTGTATTAAACCTGCACTGTTATTACTGACCTGCTTTTGCAATGTCTCTGTAAGCTGCAAGTTTATATCTTTCACAAGTTTCTTGAACCTTAGCTAGAACACTGTCAGCAGAATTATGTGTTCTACAAAGAGCATTTTGTCTTATTCATTATTTCTTAATTGTCCTTGTTTAGAGTAGCAGAGGAAGATGGTAAGCAAAAGGTGACCCACTTCTCTAAGAATGATGTTGTAGGATAAAGTTCTTTGGATCTGTCTTTGGAATGTCACTTAGATGTTCTAAATAAAATTAGCCTGGATATGATGCAGTGTTTTTTATCAAATAAGAGGACAGGAAATCCTTAGAGAGTTGATATAAAAGTAGAAATATTGGGACACCTGAGATTAACACCATATGTTTGTAACACCCCGAGGTATCCACAAAGACATGGACTGGACTCATCCTACCCACTACAAGCACAAAGTAATATCAGCCGATCATTCATAATTTACAGCTAAATAAAGGTCTCGATAAATTTTTAACCTTATGTTCTACTAACAATACTAAAAAAATGTGTTCCAGGCATATCTTCAAACATCTGTAGGTGAGCACTGATGGGACCATAAAAAGGAAGTGGAGCAAATATAATATCATAAAACTTCTGAACATGAAACAAAGTCAGTTTAAATATTTTTCCGAATTAAAAAAATATATATATATATCTTTAACTGTTTTATGTGTCTAAGATATTGAAAGGCTGTTGATTTTAAATTCAACTGTATTTCAGTATTTTTATTTAGGGCTAACAGTACGTCTCAAACAACTACTATATACTCTTTACGAGGGCTGCAGCGATTAGTTGGCATAACTAACAATATTAACCATGAAACACAATTGATTAAATACGTCAAAACATTTTTTTTAATTAAAATGGCTGCTTGTCTCAATATGGCTGATGAGTTTGAGTAAGTTAAAGCACTCTATCGCATGATTCTCAGTGGTTTAGAGGGCAGTAATGTAATGACAGGGACTAAAGGGGAAAAAAGTGAGTTAAGCTTCATAAACTTTGTTCTTGAGCTATCACAAAGCAGATCTTCATGCTCAACTCAGATTTTTTTGACATAATCTTTCATAACACTGAATAAATTCGACCCATACCAGGCTGCAGTCTAAACCGCAGACGAATGTAGACGCCACATAGGCAAAACACAGAATTAATGATGAATGTGATTTTCACTAAAAGTATTAATTAAAGCATTGTTGAAAAAAAAAAAGAGAATGCCAGTGTCTCTATGTTATTAAAGTATTAAACAACCGGAGCTGACAGTATAATGACTCCGTTATGAACAAAGAAAGTAAGCAAAGATAGCACAACTATTAGGAACACACATTTGCAAAGCATCACTGAATGCTGCAGCTGTAAAGAAGGCCCATTTTAAAAGTTTAATAAAATGCGGCATGACCATTCAGGCTGATTCAAGTTTTGAAGTGAAAGTGAAAAAGACAGACATGAGTGGCATATGGGCAAAAGTACTAGATTTGGGTCAATTTCCCTGCAGTGTAGAATGATTTAAGGTGAGAATCTAACCATGTGAAGCAATTACCCCACCCCCCACCCCCCATCTCTTGTATTACATCTTGTCCCAGAAAAAGTTAACTTAAATAAATACCAGATCCACTGACTTCTAATAAAATAAAACACAGACTTCAGCAGGAACACAGCTTGAGCCTGTATGTCAAAGTAATTTCAATAAGTGGACTACAGGATCTCTTGTAACTAAATTTAGGAAGACCAACATTGCTACAAAGTGGCAGAAACAACTTGTTCAAATATACAGTAAAAATATTAAAAATGTCATGCTCATGTTTAGTAGAGAAACTTTTAAATTAAGGAATCAACTTAAAGTAATCTTTCAAACAGAAGAGTGAATACTGAATATATTTAATTGTTTTAATTTCTGTGGGTTATTTGTTGAAAACATGTTATTATCAATAAAGCAATACAATATGTGCAGGAATAAATCCAGGAGCACAGACAGTGTCAATCCACAGAAAGTCCCTGGCATCTGTTATTGGTTTTTAGGATTACAGGTGTATCTCAGTGCTGACATCTTTAGCCAATAGGGCAAACAATGGATGAAAAGATGACAAGCCACATCAAAAGGCTTACTCTGACTCTTTTGATCCACATTTTATCTTATTCTCCTCTCTGCAGGTGATTAAATTGGAGTTACCACGGTTAGGAGAACAGAATGACGAGGATGATGATAATGTAGTGATAGCGAGAACTGCCAGTCTGCCATGAGGGCAGCAGTGAACAAGAAAGCAGATGATGATAATGACAGGAGAAGACAGCGGTGCCCATCATTTGGACATCATCCTTTGTGTTTGCAAAAACCACATGAAGCTTTTTACAAAAGCATCAAAGAGTCTACAGAGGTGAGAAGAGTGACGGATGATCTGATGTGTGATTGGTTGGACAGAAAGAATGGCATCAAGCTTAGAAAGAAGACAACAGTGTAGCAAGGCAACTGTGAGGCCACGGTATTGCACATATGCAGTTGAAACAAATACATTTACATGCAAAACAGAGGTGCAATAAGAAAACACTTGTAACGAGCTCATTAACTGACTTGAATAATTTACCTCTGCTAATTGCTTCTTTAAAGCCTTAAAGGTCCTGTTTTCTTTTAGCATGAATCACCTTACCTGCAGCTAGACTTCAGTTCATTATAATCACCTTCCGCATGATTATGCAGTGGCCATACTTGGCTGATCTTGTTGTATTTATCTATGAACCGATTTTTCTTTGACATATTTTGGTTGATTCAAAGGATGTAAAGTGATACTGGCTAAATAAGTTTCTGTAAAACTGAGAAAAATAAGCAACAGAAGCTTTTTTTGTTTTTTAAAGAAAATGTTTCTTAAGAAAGCTTTTAAATTGCATGTTATTTTCACATTTTCCAAAAGTGTGACTTAGATGTTTGACTGACCTAATTTCTGAGCAGCAAAATCTGACATTTCTCTTTACCTGTGTAGGCATCTATGGTTGCTGCCGTGCTCTGCTGTCTCCCTCTATTTGCTGCTACTGTAATGGTATATTCAGTTCCAGGCTCCAGGTCTGTCAGGGTCGTGGTTGTTATGTCTTTAGGTACCGTCACCTAGAACAGAAAGAATAAGGTTAAGAGCAATAACAACCTACATTTCCTCTTATCGGTACAGAGTACAATGTAGATGTCATTAACATATGAGTAATTGCTCAGTAAACTGGCTCACATTTGTTGTGTCTTTTACCTTAGTCGTAATGCCAGAGGAGGATGTGTAGGTGACCCTGTAGTGGTCAATTGGACCTTGGACTACACCCCACACCAGAGTGATGGAGTTGTCTGTGGAAGCTGTCACAGTTAAATCCATGGGTACATCCAGACCTATAATACCAGAGGGCAAACATGATTTCATTACATCCAGTAGTGCTGAGAAACAATTTCCACCCCACAGATCTGAGACAGGATTTTACGGGAGAATATGACTGTTATTTTCCCCCAAAAATCTATTTTCGTCTGTTCAAACAACAGACACTGCATAACAAATAAAGAAGCCTTTACTGTTAATGTTCTCTTAAACCCAATGTTATTTGTTTGCCTCTACTTTCTTCCTGCTTGGAGTCGTGCTGCAAAATTACACTTATTTCAGGAAAACCTGGATATAGATACTCTTATGCAAAGTAGGAATAAAATATTCAAAGCATAATGCTTAATTTTTTTTCAAATCTTTAAAAATGAATATACTTTTTAGTGTTGGTTTATAAATCTTAAAAAAAAAACTGCAAGGTAATTGGAAGTTTTTTCAATTTCCTTTTCAGCTCTGATATTATGAGAAACAGGAGATGTATCACATAATGTATTTTCAAAAGAAAGTATTTCATCAGTTCTTCCAAAACATTAATCGTTTAAAGCCTAAATCATATTATAATTGTCAAAAATGAATTTGTTTTAGATTTGTCATTTCACATTCTGACAAATAAAAAATAAAATCAAATAATGGGTTTACTTGGATTATTTATTTGTATCGCTTGTGATAAATTAGGCATTTCCTTGTAATTTATTATAGATTTTCGGTTCTGTTCCTGTTATTGTATAAGTCAGATTTTTATGAGCATAAACAACACGCTGATGATGTAAAGGAGATAAATCTAAATGAATCCTGTTTTTGAAGTTTCCTCACCAGATACCGAAACAAAAATACTAAGACAGCAAGTAGCTACTTTTAAAGAAACATTACCTAATGGTGTGACAGAATCAGAGCCTTCACAACCTTCAAAGTGAAAAGACTTTGAGGAGATAACAAAATTATCTTAGTTTGCCAATTGTAAAACCAACATGGGCATATAAGAGTCTATCAAAACTATCAACTAGAAAGGTTAACAATGCACCCATCTGCACTGACATTTCAAACAGGTGAAAGTTGAATCAAGCTTGTTTTTTTTTTCTGCTCTCAGTCAAACGACTCAAAGCACAATAGACATTTAAATGTCCCAGAGATGAAAGGAAAGGGCCATTAGTGAAATGGCATGGATGATTACAGATTTGAAAAGCTGCACTAGGATGTTTATTTATTTCCCCAAACTGTTCAATTACTCTATAAAATCTTAATTTCTACAAACCTCCATAAATTACCTATGTTAAATTTGTGGTAGCCAAACTGCACATCTTATTTATAAGGTCTCTTATAGTGACCAATATTGATTGAAACATGAGTACTCAGGTCATGTGTAGCAGTGTGTGTTTATATACAAATAGGTCAACTTACTTGTTGTAATGCTGATATTTCCCAAGAAAATATTCACTATTGTAAATATGCAGAAGTTGCTCCCTGTTTTATTACAGTGAATCATGAAGTATTTTTTTACCCACCTGTCCTGGCATTCATCGTCGCAGGCGTACTTTGGTTGATACCTTTCATGGCAGAGATTCCAATGCCGTACTCAGTGCCCGGCAGCAGGTCTGGTGCACAGGGATGGAGAGAGAAGCAGAAAATTCAACAACCAATACATCAAACTCTAGCAAGCTGTTTTACATTTTCCTTATCACAGAAATGCGACACCTAGAAGAAAACATTTTCCATAACAGCTCTAGAAGAAATACTAAGGTGATGGGGACATTTGCATTGACATTGTGGTGATTTTGGTAGAGATCTGTTTTTGTCAGTTCCATCATTTTGGTTGAATTTAGCTGAGCTGTTTCAACTCCTGAGCTCCAGAAATAAAGATGAAGAGATGAGCAATGGAAAATAAAGTGGGCGAATGACAGATTATTAGAGAGACTCAGGGAGAGAGAAAATTAGAGTGGCAGAGAAAGAACGTGGAGAAAGTATTGATTCGAGTGGCCTAAAGATATAACAAAGGGGCCCTTTGTTTCTGTTCTCATACAGGTTTGCAGCACCAAGACCTTTCAAAAAGAAAAAAAAATCCCAGCTGATCCATCTTTCTGACAGCCGTTCAATGTGTCTGCATTTCTGCAGATACAATCAGTAACCCATCAACAAAATGTTAGCAGCAGAGATAATCACACCATGTAAAACATATTCTCTTTGTGACATCTTCAGTACATATTAGATGCACTGTGATAAGACTGACGGCTGGAGAAAAAACAGGGAGTGAATCACAAGACCTCTGCCGATGTTAGTAATAAATAATTCAGCAGGACTTTAAACACTTTTTTTAATCTGCACTTACCTGTAAGGTTAGTCTTGGTGGTGGCACCCTCATTGCGCGGCACAATCACCTTATCATACTGATCTCCTGCTAAGGTGCTGTACACCACCTGATAGGCTTCCACCTGTATTTCAACATTTTGCAGAAACACAAATATGAATGAAATAATAAAAACAATATATATATATATATATATATATATATATATATATATATATATATATATATATATTAGTGCTGTCAATCGATTAAATTTTTTTAATCGCGATTAATCGCATCAATGCCTGAGTTAACTCGCGATTAATCGCATTTTAATCGCAAATTTTTTTTCTGATTGAAAATCATTTAAATACTCTCGATGACATACAAAAAATACATACAGGCTAGGTTTGTGCCAATGTTCTTTTTTTAAAATGAAAACAGGTCACAGACACTGATTTATGCCAAAAATAACAAATATGTAGCCAAAAAAAAAAGGCCCTGAAAACAGGCTGATGTAAAAGACAGTCTTTACAGTTAATACAGTCTTTTGAACAAAGACAAGCATTTTACCCTACTGCTATAAAATGTAGTACAGTTAACATTAGATGTTAATTAACCAAGATAATAATGAACAATTTTCAATCAATACATCAAAATCAATAGACCAACATCACTAGATGGAGGTAGTCTATGAAAGTTACTTTTCAGACTCTTAACAAAAATGAGAACACACACACACCCACCCACCCACACACAGACACACCCACCCACACACACACGATACCGACCTGTGACAGCAAGAGTGCCGTAGCAGATTCCATTTCAGCGTATTTCAGGTTGCTACTAGTTACCAGACACTCAACTTGTTTGTTGGTGGTGGGGCTTAAAGGAAAGGCACTAGCGTCACCCAGTGTATGAGCGTCTTTTTCCCTTGAGGAGCTCCGCTCTCGAAGCCTATGAGAAATGCATACACCGGGGGAAAATAGCCCCGCCTTCTCGCAGGCTGCAGCGGGATGTACTTGGAAAATTTTACCATAAAACCACATAGCGTTAATCTCACGTTAAAAAAATTATCGCCGTTAAAATGGCCTCGCGTTAACGCGATAATAACGCGATTATTTTGACAGCACTAATATATATATATATATATATATATATATATATATATATATATATATATATATAAAAACAGGAAAGCTTTATATTAAATTATCTACAATAAAATGAACAAGCAAGACCTTGCAGTGTCTTATTCTGTGGAAAAAAAGATTAAGCTGGGAGTCAGTCAGCAGGTATGTTATCTTTATAAAGCCTATGAAGGACAGATGAGTTAAGTTCTGCAAGACACCTCAATGGAATTGTTTCTCTATAGTTACATCCTAAACTGTTACAACATATAACCACATTTTATTTAGTTGTTTTTTTTTTTACTTGTATGTATCGTGGCTTGGTTTATCCTCTATGCTCAATTTATTATGAGGGATATTTATTTTATTGATCAATGAAAGTCAATAACAATGATTTGATTGTGGTATACATTTTTTTTTATGTTACTGAATAAAACAATGCTCTGCGACTGTTTTTAAATCTATTGATATAATGATAAAGCATTTAAAAAAAGAGTAAAAAAAAATTTCCAGCCAAACAACCAAACACAATGTTTAAAAAATTTTTGTCACAAAAGCAGATAAAAACAAAAAAAATATTCCAGAAGGTATTTCATTCAAAGTATATTAGTGACCTATCATGAAGTTAACTGTGGGTATTTAAGTTGTAAATTTAACAACATAAATACCTAAATTTTCAAAATCTCCTAAATATACTACAGAGACCGATAATGTCAAATGCAATAAAGTATTCCAAAGCAAATGAGCATTTGCATGGAGTTAAAGCATGAATGCAGGTGATTTAATCCAGATAAAGGTTAACATTTTATTCAAATTCAAATAAAAAAAAGAACGTTTAAAAAGTCAGTTAATGCAAACTGTTGGGATAGAAAAAAAAACTGTAAGTATTAACATAGTTTTAAGAATTTTCTTTCTTCAAACTTACAACTAATTATAGATCTCTCCAACATCCCTGAGGGGAATTGACAACCCTTGATCAACAGTAATAGCCTCAATATCCTTACAGTCAGACATTCAGTGTAAGTCGTGATTATCCATAACTTGGGTTAATCTATTTTCCACATAATTAAACTTAATCTCCCTGCTTGCAATTAGTTCCGAAAATCTTAAATGTTCTTGTTTTTTTTAAGTCAACTGCATAAAAAACGACTGTTGCTTTTGCTGTCTGTCGATGAATTGTTTTAAATTAGGCAATGCTCAGTGCTAAAATCAACAGATGTTTTACTTTAATCCGATAAACAGATAATTTCATAAGCAAAACAGAGGTTGCAGAACTAACATCTAAATGACTAAATCCTCTTATCCTGAGATGAATCCCACAGCCATCAATCTCTTAAAGTGGTTGAAAGCAAATTGAGACAAATGGATTAAATCTGCCTCACGTCTCTTTACCTCAGCCTCACTGTTATCCCATTCAAGCTCGAGGGTAGTGGAGGTCTTGGACACAAGCCGTAAGTTCTTGGGGGCATCAATCTCTGAGAAGAACGATAAAGCTGACAATGTTGGGAACACAGAGACCGACTCTCAGAGATTTTGAGCAAGGAAATATATGAACAGTTTAAAAGCTTATCACAAACAGATAAAGGTAGAAATACCATACCAGATTTAAGTTAAGGCTGACACTTGAAATGTCTTTAAAGCATTTTCTGATAAATATTTGCAATTTCATTTTAAATTCTCAAGTCCACATCAACTCTTGTTAAACTATAGCTGAAAAATAATACACTCCAATACCTTTTTTGTAGATTTATGTGTAAAAGGTTGTATTTTTCATCACAACTATTGGCAAAGTAAAGACATGTATGACCTAGAACAGCTTTTAAAAGCCGTTTTGTCCAAAGCAGATAAACAATGAAGCATTCACTATAGGCCGTTGTACCATAACTCTCGATGCTGCCTTTGAGGCATGCACAGGAGATGGACACCCAGCATCACTACATCTGTTTGCTGTCAGACCTCACCGGTTGTAAATTCAGTGGAAATAGATCCGCTTTCATTTCCTTTCCTTACTCCGCTTACTGACACCTCATACCGTGAACCAGGACGTAAGACCTATAAAATAGTAGAAACCAAATGCATCTGTTTAGGTTAGTAACATGTCTTTTCTACATTTCTAACACAGATGGCAAATAAACCATGAGATTGGAGTCTAACACAAACACAAAACAAATATGAGGAGGTAAAAATCTAGTTTCTTTCTATTATAAAAAGCTGAAACACACATTATAATAGAATCCATTATGAGCCCTAAAAAGCATCACAAACCCACCTGTAATGAGTACTGGGTGAGGGTGGGCTGAAGCCGGAAGGTGGTCCGTGGTCCCTCTCCTCCCACAAGGCCATAACGCAACACGATCTGATCAATCTTTGCTTTTGGTGGAGTCCATTCCACAAATGCTACGGTGTCTGACACATCACGCACTATCAGCTGAGTCGGGCCATCAATCACTGCAAAACAGCATCAAAAAATGTAAACGAAGCAGGCGTTCTGTTGTCAAGCTGAGCAATAACTGCAAACTGTGGCAACCCTACTTAGTGTGGCAACATAATTTTTTTTATTTTCCAAAATTAAAGGGTAAGAGACATTCAAGCCAGAGAAGAACAAATAATTTCCCTTTATGAATAGGGAGGGCGACCAATAGCAGTCACAATGGAATTGTCGAATTTCATAGCTGTCAAACTGTAGTGAAAATTGATTTTAGTTAGGCTTTATCTACAGTAATGGTAGGCTACCTGTAAAGAATTTTGTTACAAAATATTTTCCCTTAAATAAAAAGATAATAAAGGCTGTAAGCAGGTTTGGGTGGCCCTCAAACCTTAATGCTGTTTAAATGGGTCCTAACAGCGGCTATTCTGCATCACCACCTAATTGACTCTGATTAGCTTCCAGCACAGTTCCACACATCACCACCTGGCAGTACAATAAGTAAGCTTTATATCCTGTTCAGTGGCATAATGGCTCAGTTTAGGACTGGTGCAAAGGGCTTAAGCTTTTGTAGAGATACAATGGTAAATGGCCTGTACTTATATAATGCTTTTTTAAGTCAAGAGACTGGATCAAAGTGCTTTGCACTACTTCAGTCATTCACCCAATCACTCACACACTGATGGTCGCGAGCTCACTTAAAGAAGTGCCACCAGTCTTTCTGACCACCATCAGTAGGCAATGTGGATAAAGTGTCTTGCCCAAAGACACAATGACACTGAAAGGAGCCGGGGCTTAAACCGCCAACCCTCCGATTGCAGGACGAACTCCTTCATCCGACGCCACTGTCAACCAATGAACCTTCCTTATGGAAAGATTAATTAAGATTTTTGATTAAATTTGTAAAAAAAGGTACATGACGTTATTATTATTAGACAAAGTTTGATGCTTCTATTGATTAATATTGAATACAACAATTTATCGTAATACAACTGCAACCTTTGATGTCTTTAGAAGGCGTTTTTTTTTTTTTTTTTTTTTGGGATAGACCAACTAGTATATTGAAGGCTATGATATACAATTGAGAAGTGGAATTAAAAAATATATTTTTGTTATTTTAAAAATTTGAGAAGTGTCCCTTGAATGTTTATTAAATGCTTCTGTGGCAATTATGTCATCAAAAAATTTGAGGATTTTCTCAAGTAGCGTAGCACAATTTCAGTAAAATTCAACCTCCAATTTCTGTCAATAGCTGTTTTACACAGAATGGATTGAAGATGTCGACATCAACATTTTTTCAAGTCTTGCAATATTTTCTCTGCTGGCTTTTAGTCTAGGATTTAGCTTGGATATCTGAAAAAATATGAATATGCTTTAATCCAAACCACAATTTGGTGTGCTTGCTCTTTATTGCTTTTGTTTGGCTTTTATTGATTATATACGATTAAAATAAGGAGTTGGTACCTGTAAAAGGATAATTGCTTCTGCAAAGCACGTTATGCTTTTGTAAAAAATCAAGTCTGGGGAATATAGGCCCCTCTCACCAATTTAATCATTCTCCATTCCTTTGTTATAAATCAAATCCAAATGTATTTTGTGAACTCCAATATAAACTAGCTAAATTTTGAATATCTAGGGTGTGATATCTCTTTTTTTGCCTATAATAACAAACTCCATTAGACATATCATAATAGTTTTATATATTGTTTTTCCATTTTTATATGGATTTACTTTGCATACCTCAGCCTATACATTTAAAAGTTGAACAGCACTCTATAAAGTACTACACATTGATAAAGCGTAGTCACAAACATGTCTTACAGTGGTCTTTTTCTTACTATCTCTGAGCACCTGAGATATAAATAAGTCTCAAATTTTAGGCTTGACATATTGCAGGTCCACCCTTATCCTTTATGTATTAGAAATTGGCCCCTAGGGTCTCGTCCCAGAAAATAACCTGAGGAAGGCACTTGCTGGGAACCATCCGCCAAACCAGCCCTGCTCTCCCTCTGGGTTTACTTCCTGACTCCTTACGGTGCTCGCTCCATCTCCAAGGAGGGATAAATCTTTGTTATGAATAATTTAGGAACTTCAAATTTGTCTTTTCCCCTTTTTTTTTTATCCAGTATGGTGTCATTCAGTGAGCTACCATAAAAAATTAATGAGGAGATGACATGAATTATTAATCGATACCTAATTACAACCACCCAAAAAACTAACATAGACTTGACAGGAAATTGATGGTGTTTTGACTGCAGATGTCGGCTTCTGAATTGTTATGGATGAGATTTGGATTGGATCTTTTATCCCTAAGTAGTGTCTTCTTTGTGGGGATAGGTGCCTACATGTTAGATTGCTCTGGAGACAAAAATATACCAAGTAAAGTAGCGGTAATTTTAAATGTCTGTATAGTTAGGATGTGTGTCTTTGGGTTTTTTCTTTAACATTGTCTTTATTATCCTTAAGTTGTAGATTCCAACACAGACTTTTTGGTTAGTTAAGTATAAATATTTTTCTGCAATTCTCAGTGATGCCTGTTTAGTGAATCATTAAGATTCCTTTAAAATGATTATAAAAATCATAAAGGAAAACAGACATTTTCTCTAGCTTAATTACATACAGCCATATTCTAAATCTTAGAATATAAATGAAAAGTTAATAATTTTGAGGAATGTACTTCAATAAGCCATTGTCGGGGGGGTATTGTAAAATATCCTACATTATATGGATTTACGGGTACATTTTGGAGACTTAAGGGCTAGTTTTCCTCCCGCAGCAGTGTGTCGCAGTGAGCTTGTCGCAGATATTTTTGATTTATGACCAATATTGAAGCGTGGTCTGTGCTATGTTATTCCACACCACAACGCAAGAGGGACAATTGCAAACTCGCTGTAGATATGGCCTAGGTGTTGAAGGAGTGGGGGCAAGTTTTTGACAATGGGGCAAAAAAGAGCAGGGATCCAGGGGGAAAAAGGGTCCCAGCGTTCTCCCGCACCTCGTTCTTCTAGCTGGTCCATCTGCATGAGTCAGATTCTTATAGAAAATGTGATCTCATGCACGTTAGCAGATGAGTAGACATTCATAGCTCCAGCCTTATCAAAATATTACACTTCGTTCTTAACTGAAGGACACAGCTCTCCTTCCATTTCCAAATGTTTGCCATGTACAGAATGAATATTATAACTGTATATCTAGGCAGAGGAACTGTCTTAATTAAATAAATTTTTGTGGAAAACATCAGTTCAGACACGCAACAGGCAGCCAATACCAAGGTGTAATAAACTCACACATCTTCAGTGATAATTTTCCTATCAGATGCCTCCTGTCTGCGGAACTGTCTGCGGTCCCCCTACAACTTTGGAGAGGTGCAGCAGAGTGTCTGCAGAAGAGGCGGGGGCACATTTGCGTTCACTGCGTCACATATGCAGAAGACCTGGTTTATGAGTATAAATCAGCCTTTAGAGGTACATTGTGAGGACTTAGAGGTACATATGGATGCAATGGGTTGGAACTGCCTTATTTTGTTTCTGTCTCTGGACCGGCAATAGCTGGGGCAACTGTTGGGGATCTAGTTGGGGTTACGAGAGGAGGGGCAGTGTGTGGGGGATCTTTGCTTGAAATGTTCTGAGGTTCCATGTCAGTAGTATGGCTTAGTTGGATATAGGTGTATCACAATTTCTTGACCTCCTCTGGCTTTCAGATCGACTTGGATCAGAAGACTCCTTCAAAAGTTTGTCTATCTGATCTCAATCATGTTGACTGCAGATTCCTTCCCAGGTGGTTTAATGTTTTCAGGGGACAATCTCCCAACTCCGCTGGAAACCCACATCCACTTGGAAACAGGATAGCAGCGTTGGTAAGGTTTTTGGGTACCATGCGCCTTTCTCTGTGCCTCTCTGACATAATAAATAATGGTTTGGGAAATAACCCATGCATGCATAGGGAGAATATGCAAACTCCATATAAAACCCTAGACATTCTTGCTGCAAGACAATAGTCTACAAACTTTTCTTTAAAAAAAAAAAAGTCCAGCTCAATACATTCAGCTCTCAGGTCTGACATACCAGTGTGGGCATGTATTTATAAAGTGAATTCTCACTGCAAATGTCCAACTTACACTTAATCATACTTACAAGTTGTGAAAGTAGCAGTGACTGGCTGGCTTCGACCCTGCTCTCTAAGAGCAACCAGGTTGACTGTGTACTCCTCCCCAGGCCTCAAACCCGTCTGAACAAATGAAGTGATGGTGCTGGGCAGCTGAGCTGTCATGCCACCATCATTGTCCTTTAAAATAAAAGATACACAAAAGATAAGATAAGATCATACTTTAACATAAGATAATATTTCAATAGAAGATTAAAAAGTCCACAATAAGACAGAAGTTTTGGTGGTTGAATTATGAGGTAAATGTCCAGAAAAAAATGTTTTTATTACTTCTTAACTGTTTGATTGTTTAGGACATTAAATTCTTAAAATATATTACCTTGCAAAAATGTGTGTGCAACAATATGTTTCAGGTTGTGTTCTGCAGAGGCAGCACTCTGGGCAATTGTAAAGGACTGTCAATCATCAGCACAGAGGCCCCAGCTACATCCAGCTGTTCTTAAACAGTCCATGTTGCAAATTCACTTCCTGCTGACAGATGTTTTACCTGCTACTGTTCCATGAACCTCAACCACTTACACTTTCAAGATTTTTATCTGTTACACCAGTAAATACTGTGACTCTCTGGCAATGCATTACCATTTAGAATTGTAATTTAGGAAATGGGTTGCTCTGCAGGACATACTCAAAAATAGGAAGGACTATATTTTATTCTTTTAAAATGATAAATGTTAACAGATTCACTGACCATATCAATGAGTTTAGAAGTTCAGATTATTGTTGTGTATGGTATTATTGATTTGTGTCCGCTTACAAGAAATTTAGTCAGAGCTCCCACCCCAAAAGGTCAATGTAAAGGTTTCCATCTAGGAGTTGTTATGGTTTTAGAAGCTAAACATTCATACGTAGGAAACAAATATCAACTTATAGCCAGACATTAACAATGTGTGAAACTAAATATTAACATGTTTTGGCTCTTAATTCAAACTCTACCATTTCCACAAACATGCCCTCAGACTAAACCTAACACCATAATAGTACAACCAGTGCTTTTTCTATTTTGATTATTAACATTTGCAAAGAAAAAAAAAAATCCTGAGTTTTACTCTTCAAACTCATTCTAAGGGAGTACTGTATACATTTCATCATCATCAGTTCTCAGGAAAAAAAAAAAAAAAAGTTCCCAGGAAAAAACTTTCAGGTATTAGGAAATAAGTTGTCAGCTCTCAGGAAATAAAAAAAGTTGTCAGTTCTAAAACCAGTAAGTAAAAAAACTTTTAAACAGAGAACTTACCAAGTCAGAACTGAATGTTCTTTTCAATTGTCTGAATTGTACAGTAACTCGTAAGCATTTTCCAGTAACAAAACTGATTACTGCCACTGAATCAGTCATCAGAAACACTACATGGCAAAGGCAAAAGTGAAAGAACTTGGGTTGAAAGTTACAGTTGCTCTCTCTAGTGCAAAATTGCCCTCTACTAACATTATCACACAGGTTACCTCTAGATAATGATAAAAACATTCCCATTTTGCCAGCAGACATAGGCAGATGGTACATCTGAAAGACAGGACCACTTTAATTCCTAACCTGACCTGTCGGACCTCTGCCTATCAACCACATACTGTACTTCAAATACAGGGATAACTGTTACCAACAGAAACATGAGTGCACTATGGCTTCCCCAGTTTTGGCCATTGTTGCCAATATCTATATCGAGATGATGGAGAGTAGAGTACTCAGCACATACAAGGAAACACAACCATCTCATTAGTTCAGACAAGTGGTTGACAACTGGGTCAAAATCCAAACTCAGGAAGTTGAGGCATTCCCCAATCATATCAACACATTGAACAGAAACATCAAGTTCATCAGGGAGCATACCAAAAAAAAAAAAAAAACGTGTTGCCCTTTCTGCACTCTGCTGTGCATAACAAGGACAATGGAAGCCTTAATTCTGAGGTTTACCCGAAACCTACCCATACATAAAGGCCAATACCTTCATTTTGACTTGCATCACCCACTGGAACATAAGCTTTCTGTGATCAGAACTCTGAGTTAACAGGCCAACAGTATTCCCTCAATTACAGAGGAGAAATAAAAGGAAAAATAAACACCTTAGGAAGTCGCTTGAGGCATGTGGTTATTCGTTAACTGGGCATTTGTGAAGTCGGCCACAACAGTTAGTAGGAAGAACAATGCTGCTAGAAACACAGCATAAAACAAAGGGATGCAAAAACATTTTCATATGTGTCAGGAATTTCAGAGAAACTCAGAAGGATTTTCTGCAAGCACAACATAACGGTGAATTTCAAACCTAACAACACACTCAGACAAAAACTTGTTAAAGACAGGACACCCAAACCTAAGCTGAGTGGCGTTGTGTATGAAATCCAGTGCAGTGAAGAATGTAAAGTTTCTTATATTGGAGAAACCAAACAATAACATCAACGCATGGCACAGCATAGCAGAGCCAGCAGCTTTGAAGAACTTTGAAGACCAAAGTGCTCAGATTTTGGACAGGGAGCACATTTGGATTAAAAGAGCCACCAAGGAAACTATCTTTGTGAAAAGAGTAAAGCTGTCATTACCACAGAGGTGGAAGACTGCGGTTTTAGCTTCCAAGCATTTATAATTCAGTCATGGAACTTATTCCCAAGTTACATAAACACTCCCATTATGATTCAAAAGACCAATCAATTGTACAACAATGGGCTCCAACAATCCAGTTGAACAAAGGGTGGCTATTTGATTAGTGTCTGACTTGGAATATGTGCAGCAGGATGGACCTCCATGTTGCTTAAATACAACAACGCTCGACCTAGATTTTGCTCTGGTGCGAGCCAACATAATTGACTAAGACTCCTGGATTTCAAAACGTCCTAAAAAAAACTGTTTGAAATACAGGTTTCCTTCAAATTTAAGCCTGTTTGTGGTAAGTTCTTAGAAAAAACTCTGTCCGTTCTCAGGTGTTTGGAAAAACAAATAGCTCTTTTTCAAAAGAAATTCTGTGAAATTGTGACCACCTGGATACATATTGGAGTTTAAAAAAAGCAATGCTGCACCCTAACTGCAGGGAGCGTTATCACAGATCCTTCCTCCCAGCAGTTCTAAGACTATAAGCACCACTATTCCAAATAACCTTAATAAGTTGTTACATTCATGCCGATGTTGCACAGTTTCTATCTTACTTAGTTAAATAACATGCTGCTATCATTTTGCACATCTCTGATGTTGCTGCTATTTTCAAATATCCATTACTGTAGAAATGTCCATATCTTTATATTAGTTATTTATTCTCCAGGTGCAGAGTTTTATATTGTTAAAACACTTTATAGCACAGTATTTTATTATTTATGTTTTAACTTTTCACTAGTATGTTATTATTCTTTCCTGTTTTTCTAAGTTGCACATTTGTGTGACCATTTTCTATAATCTTTTTGCTGCTGTAAACACCAGCATTTCCCCATTGTGTGAAAATAAAGGAATTTTCTATTCTATTATATTCTATTCTATTATATTCTATTCTAACATTCTCGCCTTAATGTTATTTTTTTGGGTGGGGGAGGTCCTACGAAGCAAAATGTATTGATTTTTAACCATAATTTTTGTCACTGTTGTCCACCATTTCTGTCCAAGCTGACCAATCTGCATTTACCCATAATGACTCATAGGAAATGGAAGACCACAAAGAATATTCCAGATCCTGTACTTTTATATTGTTTTACTAAGCAAACACAAAATGGCTGAAACCCTTATATATATATATATATATATGTGTATATATATATATATATATATATATATATATATATATATATATATATATATATATATATATATATATATATATGTTCTATTACAATCCTTTTAAGAAAGAAACCAAACTGTATATTTTGTAATTAAAAAAAATCTACATCTATCTATTTGGAAGTCAAAACATTGTGGAGTAATCTCCATATATTTTGAAATTCAACTCAAGATCCCGCCCTGCAGCCTGCCTTTCGCCTGCTGAGACATTTTCTGCAGGTGAAGCAATTATGCCATAAAATTGCGACAGTAGCAGAGGAGGATTATATCAAACGGTTCGGGTTTGTAACTACACACATGGTGAGTTTAAGTGGCTTCAATATAAATATATTTTTTGCAATAAGGAACTTCACAATCTAAAGGCAAAACCCAAACACAAATGTGGCAAAAATAAAAGGAAAGGGTGAGTTTCATGGTTATCCATTTCCCATGAGTCACTGCAGTTCAAAGCAAATTGTTCAGCTCTGACAGTAATGGTGGATGACGATGACAAAAATTGTGGTAAAAAATGTATAATTTTCGCTTTATATGACGAAAACTAAACTTTAAATAATAAGTTAGGTACAGTTTCTTTGAATTAAAAAAAACTCCAACATTTTTAGGGAATGATGCTTTTTCAAAGATCTGACTATGTTTTTCCTAATATCTGAGAACTGACAAATTTTTCATGAGAAATTGTAAAATCTTTCCTGAAAGATGACCATTTTAACCAAAGATCTGAGAACTTACAACCTTTTTCTTAATATCCAAGAACTGAAAAAGTTTCCTAATAGCTGACAGCATTTTCTCCTAATACCTGGGAAGTGACAAATTTTTCTAAAGAAATGTCAACTATTTTTTCAGAAATGATAAGCTTTACCCTAATACATGAGAATTTACAACTTTTTTTCCTGAGAACTCAGTATGTCCTTAAATGTATGACCTGCAAGAGCTTTTGCTTTAAGATCAGATTCTCATTTCCTGTGACCTAACACAACCATTAAGGGCAACGAAATATACTGGATGTTTTAAACCTTTTTAACAAAAATAAATAAATAAAATGAAGAGTGGTGCATGCAAAATGAATCAGCCCATTTACTTTCAGTGCAGCAGATTCTCTCCAGAAGTTCAGTATTCAGTGTGTTCAGTGATTCAGTGTTGACCTAAATGACTGATGATGATAAATAAAATCCACCTGTGTTTAATAAAGTCTCTGTATAAATGCACCTGCTCTGTGATGGTCTCAGAGGTCCTTTTAAACTGTAGAGAAGACCATGAAGAACAAGGAACACTCCCGGCAGGTCAGACATACTGCTGTGAAAAAATTTAAGGCCACATTTTGCTGCAGAAGGATTTCCTAAGGCTTGAACATTCCAAGAACATTCCAAGCACT